ACTCTGTGAACAGCCAGCTTCTTTGGCAATGAATGTTTGTGGCTTACCCTCCTTGTGAAGGGTGTCAATGATTGCCTTCTGGACAACTGTCAGATCATCAGTCTTCCCCATGATCGTGTAGCCTAGTAAACCAAACTGAGAGACCATTTTGAAAGTTCAGGAAACCTTTGCAGGTGTTTTGAGTTGATTAGCTGATTGGCATGTCACCATATTCTAATTTGTAGATGCACCTGTATTAGCAGATCAACTATATATAGCGAGAGATGGCAGAAAAAAAGAGGAAAATTATGGAGAAACAAAACATTAAAAATAAGGGTTACGGTCAGGTAAGCGGTAGGACCCGCGTAAATATTGGAGCAGCTTTCCAGCGGTGACGAGAACTCGTGGAACGTCTCCAGGTTACGAATGTAACCATGGTTCCCAGAGGGAACGAGACGCTGCGTCGGAAAATGCTTTGGGAACGCCTCCAGCGTGACCATGCTCTGAATCACATATGAAATCAGTCCAATAGATGGGCGAGACGTCATGGGCGACTCGTGGAACGTCTCCAGGTTACGAATGTAACCATGGTTCCCAGAGGGAACGAGACGCTGCGTCAGAAACGCTTTGGGAACGCCCCCAGCTTTTCCGACGCAGCTCGAGTTCCTGAAGGGGAACGGGATGACCTGGAATCGGACGCCGAGGTTGCTTTGTATCTTCTTGATAGGTGAGTTACATTGATTTTTACGTTGAATTCCCATAGTAACACACATCACTTTCACTTATTGATGAAATCATATCCTCGGCCGGCAGGCATAGCAGACTCCTCCATCATCGCTGCCAGGGTTGTGTACGTATGTGTGGGGCGGAGTTATCAGGGGCGAGGTCCTGTTGGGGTATAGGCATGTTTGTTTTGGTGCTTTCAATTATCAACATCGTTTGGCAAAATTAGCTTAGTGGGGAGTGTTGCTCAGCTCGTCTCTACAGAATCCCTCACAGCAGCTCAAGAGCGTTAAGATTGAGTGAAATACATGTCCACTGAAGGATTTTCACCTCGGGAGAATGAATATATGCATATTGTCATGTTAAAAAAAAGCCCAATAATGCAGGGAATGAGGGGAGGGTAGCATCTTCAGTTTCAGGTTTTTGTATTACATCACACAGTGGTGTGTGAACTCATGCCAGCATTGATAAAGCACAACTCCCTCACACCTTCAGCACTCATACATCCCTATAGAAGAGCTTCACTACCACTGAACATCACTGTGGGTACCAGGCACTTCTCACTGTACTCCTCCTCTAGCAACACCAGAACATTCTGGATGCTTTTGGACTTGGATATTGACTTGGTCTCTTGAGACCAGAGTATGGATTCCCAGAAGTCTCTATTTTGTAAATATGGGCTCTGGAAGAGGTTACGAGTTTCTTGTGCTTTGGTTACAGTAGGTAAATCTAATGGTGACAACAACCATGCATGCACTTCTGCAGGCTGCGTCATACTCTGTGAGATGAAGTGTCACTC